TACTATATTTTGATTTGAACTATTATTTTAAAAAATATTTTTAATCATAAATTTATTTAAAATCATTTAAACAACAATCTCTTATCGTGGAATATCAAATTAATAAACAAATCTCTTTAATTAGACATAAAAAACCATATTATTTAATTTTAATGATTCAACATTTAATTATTTAATATTTTCTTTTAATTTCTACAATATATATATATATATATCTAATCCTAGTTTTTTATTACATTTTTCTATTTCCATATAATTAAATTATAATTAATTATAAATTTCACCTAAAATTAAAAAAAAATTATTTATAAATTAATTTTAATTTAATCTTATTAGAATTAATTAATTTATAAATTAAGTTTAACCGCTATTGCTGGCAGCACTTATATTTATCTTCACTCAATTTAATTACCGAATTAAACTTTCATTTATCTCCTCTCTTTCCTTTCGACCAGTAAGTAAAAAATGCTTCCAGAGAGAAAGAGGGGCTTACCTGCGCGTAACTGGTGGTGTGGTTCGGCGAACTGATGTACGTCCCGATCATGTTGGTCGGCACAGGGGTGTCCATCTGAAGAAGAGAGAAGAAGAGGAACGTGGGCGGTGAATTCGAGTTTCAAACAGAATTTCGGAGAGTTCTAAGAGAGTTCGAATCGTTGTCGCGCGCTCTTCCAAGACGAGGATCGATAGAAGAGAGAGAGAGAGAGAAAGAGAGATAGAGAGAAAGAAAGAAATAGAGAGAGAGATAGAGAGAGATCGGACGATTCGCAATGGTGGATCGATCGCTTCGCGGAGTATTCCTTTCACGGTCGATCGGTTCGTAGGGTTGGCTCGGTCGTGGCAAAGCGAAGAAGGAGAACAGGGTGCGGCCAACGACGACGGCAAAGGGGGAGGGGAGGAAGAGCGCGGAGGGAGCGGAGCGAGAAAAAGCAAAAAGAGGAAGAAACGAGGAAACAAAAGGCGGATCGGATCGGGTCGAACCGTTTTTATTCACGAGGATTGGAAATAAATATTATTCCTCGTGATGATTATTTATCGATCCTTTTAATTCTCAGAGACGAAAATTTCGAAGAATATTCTGTTCTTGGGAAGGGGAATTTTTCCTTCTTTCATTTAATTCTCCGAAAAATTTGCTTCTTCTTCTTCTTCTTAAATTCGAAGGAACGAGAGAACTCGAAACGAGGATCAAACAAAGAAATTTTGATCCTTTTCTTTTTTTTTTCATCTCCTTTCGTTTCGTAAATTTTACCAAGGAGAGGGAGGAGAGAGAGGATCCTTGAACATGCTATCGCGGCGTTGAACGAGCTGAGAATATAACGAAGGCGTCTTAAGTATCGAATCCCTTCGGCCCCAAGACGGCCAATTATCGCGCCAAATTGCGGAAGATGTGTCGTCGATAACACCGCGATAGCCGTTGCAACGTGACCGCGAACGCATCGATCGATCGTCAGCTGATACGAAAAAAGAGAGAGAGAGAGAGAGAGAGAGAGAAAAAAGAAAAGGAGAAAAAGGAGAAGGTAAAACGCGCGCGAAGAAGGAAGAGAAGAGAAGAAAAGAAAGAAAGAGAGAAAGGATCGGGGGTTAAGTTTTTTTCTTTTTATTTATTTTTTCACCTCTATCTGCGTGCTCCAGGTGCAACCAAGTTCCATGAGCTGCTGCGCGAATTTCGGCCAATCCTGACGGATGCGGGCAACAGATAAACATCAAGGCTTAACATTTCAATCATCTGCATCTCGCAGGACTTGACAAGAATTGAAAGAAAAAAAAAGGAGAAAAGAGGAGAGAGAGAGAGAGAAAGAGAGAAAGGGTTGATGTTCCCCTGATTAGCGAGGCCGAGTCTCGTTTCAGCCCTCTCGCAGGGGAGGAGACAGGTGCCGGTTCGAAATCCGTAAAGGAAGCGAGTCGAAAGAATGCACCCGCGGAATTGCTGCGTCTATCGATCGGGGGAGGAGAGGGGGGCGCGATGAAAAACGACACTTGGCTACGAACGGGGACGAAAACATTCGGTTCGAAAACGAAAAGTTACGAAGAATGCATGCATGGAACCAAGTGGGGAGAAGCGTCTACTAAAAAAGAGTGTCTCGTCGGGGCGAGGGGAAAAAAAAAAAAAATTCCGATGAATTCGACGAACGACGGCCAGGCGTCGTCCATCGAAGTGAGTCATCGTTCAGATCCTTAATCGATAATCATGATGGATCACCGACCGATTCGGCTACGCGCACGGCGGGCTCATGGATTATTAACTCGCATTATGATTCCTTTTTAATCGACGGGATGCTTCTTAATAGGGAGGGCGAAAGGAGAAGCCATACCAAAAGCGAGAGTGGCGAATAATTGGCGGTGACACGTGCGCGTGGAATAATTCATGTCGCTTGACCTTGAAGGTCAGTCACCGAGGAGGAGGGGGAGGGGAGCAGCGACAGCGAAAATCCACGAGCCGCGCGATCCGCGGGGACGGGCTTTCGTGATCTTTGAACGAAAGCGGGAGGGGGATGATGCAAGAGACAGCGCTGATAATAAATCTGATAAGCATCGATCGGAGAAGCGCTGAGAATATTTCGAGATATAATAATAATAAAAAAAAAACCTAAAGATCGAAGATCGAGTTGCGAGTATCGTGCAAGTAATGCAATCGAATCATCCGTGGGAGGCGTATCCGAGGTAAATGAAGGAAACTGTTGTGTTCGAAAATCGTATATACATATACATATATATATATA